AAGGGAAATAGGTATTTTTTAACCAAAATACGATTTTTTTAATTTTTTGGGCATTTTTTGGGCATCTTCTTAGACTTCGGCTTCGAACTCTGTTAGAACGAACATTGAGCTTTGGGTGCTATCTTGTATGACTTGGTCGCCTTGGCAAATGATACCGCAGAGCATACTCAAGAGACAAAAGCATTATGGATTTGTCGGAGAAATTAAAAAGGTAAAGGACACCATGATACTTCTGTGACGGATTAATCTAGTCAAGACTTAGCACAACGTACTCTTCACGGCTTGCTATCCCAGCTGTGGCAACACAGTGTCGTGACCATTATTATGCATATTGGTGGTGGCGGCAAAGCAGTATTTGTGAACATTCATGAAGCGCATGGTCCAGAGGTCCAAATGGAAATTGCTTCCCTCATTAGCATCAGTTCTTGTGACTGTAACTATCATGGGTAACATTCGCAACGCTTGGGTGGATTTGGAAGGCGAAAGGTGAGCTACTCTAGGCATTTTTGCTGCTGTACATTGAATTTACTTGATTAAAATCCGAATAATTTGAGCGAAGATGAAGGAAGCATTACCTCTGTGTTGCTGAGCAACATCTCTTGTGAAAAACTCTTCGATGGAGATGAAGAAGAAGCTGCCATGGCGAAAATGCTGCAAGTCAATAGCAGTACTATTGTTGATGCGATTTTGGACAGTCCTAACAGGTCATTACTGGAAAAATTCACATGATATTTAGAACATTATCATATCTCCAGATATTTGACTAGTAACTGTGAAATTTTTTATCATGGCTCGGAGTCTCGTTTCAATATTTACCGAGAGATATTCATAATCTAAAATCATAAATATATCTGTGCACATTCAGAAAAGCCCATAGTTGAATCTTAAATGGAGAAAATCTCAAATTCAAAAATATGAAGTTCATTGAAAACTAGAGACATTCGCATCCAGACCCATTTGGAAACATTCTGAAAAAATCAAATCTTTTGAACGGTCGAGATCATTCTTAAGCAGAGTTAGCTTTCCAGTAAAGTTATTTCAAATTTCTAGAAACGGACACAAGCTACTTGAGCCATTAGTTAACTTTCTCCTTTTCAGCTGTGACACAATAACTAAACTTTTTCCATTTTTTCCCACACTATCTGCTGAAGAAGGCGATTTCCCAATTGCTTATGCTATGTTAGTGCATAAAGATGTTACTCAGGTATTTTTCTTTCTTGTTATCGATTAGATTCGCCACAAAAATCAAACTCAGGTGATGATGTTACTCTCAGCCTTGTACCAACCACAAAATCAATTTTGTATAGCCGT